CCCGCAGCGCCGGCGGCGGCGCGTACGCGACGCCGCGCTCCGCGCAACGCAACACGAGGCCCTGCGGCGGCGCCCGGTCAACGACGTGCCGCAATTGCGCGGGCCGCTTGGAGAAGCTCGCGCCGTCGACCGTCAAGATCTCCCTGAGACCCCTTCCTCTGATGGCGACGACGATGCCCTCGAGGTCGTGGGCGAAGTAATCGCCGCTGGATAAGTATCCACCACCGATGCTGACGACGAAGCGGCCCAGGCACGGCTCGGTGGTCCGCGGCGCGGCCGGCGGGCGCGCGATGCTGCGCGGCGCGCGCGCAGCGCCGCCGTCGACCGGCGCCGCGGGCAGCGGCGCGGCCCGCGGCTCGGCGGGCACGGGCGCGGCGTCTGCGGCGCCCTGGGCCAACACGGCCTTCGCGCCGTCGTCGAGCGCGCGCCACGCCTCCGCGAGCTTCTCCTTGACCAGCCGCTCCCAGGTCGCTGCACTCGCGACGTCCTCGACGTCCTCGACGATGCGCTCGAGGTTCTTCCCGCAGAAGTAGTAGAAGACGGACGCGTCCTTGCGCCACTGGGCCTTGGCGAAGTCGTCTAAGGCGCGAAAGTTCTCCTCGAGCTTCGTCTTGACGAGCTCCTTGTGCGTCTTGCCCGTGTTCGCGGCGTCGCCGTCGACCTCCGCCTCGACGGCCGCGCGGTTCTCCTGCATGAAGAAGTTGTAGAAGTTGGGCTTGACGAGCTTGAAGTCGGCGACGGAGCGCGGCACGGCGGAGCGCGGCACGGGCGCGGGCCGCTTCCGCTTCGGCTCCGGCTCGCCGTCGGGCTCCTCCGCCATGCGCGCCGCCTCCGCGTTCTGGGCCTCGCCGGCGGCGACGACAAACTCGATCTTCTCGTCGACGAGCAGCGCGTTCCAGCGCCGCCGGAGCTCCGCCTCGACGGCATCGTTCTTCTCCTTGCCCGCGATGTCCGGGTTCGCGTCCTCGACGGCCTTCTTCGCGGCCGCGCGGTGCATGCTCCGGTGCCGGTTCCGCCCCCGCTTGTCGCCCGGCGTCGCCTTGACCGCCGCCTCCGCGTTCTGGGCCTCGCAGGCGGCGACGACGTGCTCGATCTTCTCGTCGTCGAGCAGCGTGTTCCAGCGCCGCCGGAGCTCCGCCAAGACCGCATCGTTCTTCTCCTTGCCCGCGATGTCCGGGTTCGCGTCCTCGACGGCCTTCTTCGCGGCCGCGCGGTGCAGGCGGTAGTACCGGTGCCGCCCCCGCAAGTCGCCCGGCGTCGCCTTGACCTCGAGCTCCTCCCGCCGCACGAGC